TATTTTTCAAAGCAATTTATTGCTAGTATCTTTATATTGAGAGTTCACTTATAATTTAGGTTTCCTAGAATACTGTTGTAAATGGAAACAAAGGTATACTGTGTCCAATTGATAAACACTAGGATATTCCATCAGTGCCACTTATGAGAAAGCATCAATGATTTCATTTTCCCTCTATCTGTTCATTCCCCACCCAGCCTGATTCACACATGATTGTCACCCAGTTGGCACCTGAGTGTGCAAATCCTAGTCTAGAGTTGACAAAAAAATAGAAGGGAGTATGCATTTAAACTATAGTGTAAGAAAGACATCTTTGCTCAGAATTCTTTAAAATGCACTTCTTATCTTCGAAAGGAATTCAAGCTTACTTTATATTAATTATAATCACTACTTATTGAGCTCTAAATTCCTGTCAATTTTTCCAACAAATATATGCAGTTAATGTTATTACTGATGTTTTACAAATGAGAGGATCTAGATATTTGATAATTAATAATCTGTCTGAGGATATTCAGTAACAATTACAGCTGGAATTCAACACCAGATCTCTCTGACTGCACGGCCTGACAAAGTCTTACGCAACTGCATTTTAGCTCCTGTGTTGAACTTATCCTCTTTCCCCTCTGCAGCCTCCTTGGATTGTTTGGATTCTGTAAAGTGGGCATCCTTATGCCATCTCTGCATGGGATCTTTCATTTCCATGTTCCAGCACTCATCACCATGAGTCACACTTGGTAGAAGGTCATTAAAATATTTTAGAAGTAAATAATGACATTCTCTCCTGTCTACATTTCATTTAGTCAGTACACACACACACACACACACACACACACACACACACACACACACACACATATTACTGAGTACTGAGGATCCTTATAAAGCTTTAAAATGTTGTGAAAGATTTAAAAGTTTAGCTAGAGAGAGGAAAAATAAGACAGGTGTTTTTGAAACGTGTATTCTGGGGGTTGTTTTGATGGCATTTTATATTTTCAAAGTTTTAAATAATGGAATAGCTTTGTTAAAAAATAAAGATTAAACGAATTTTATTATTTTCTAATTTTAAAAGTTATATTTCAAAATAAAAATAATTACAAAATACAAAGCAGTAAAGGAAGTTTTCATGTAATAATCCCTAAATGAAAAACAAAACTGTTAGCATTTTATATTTATAACTGTCAGTATCATTGTCATACACATATGTCTGCTTATGTATGCATATTAAACACAAAATAAATTTCAGTTCATTCTTATAGACATTAATCTAAATTTATAAGACTGGATGTATGCCCAAATTATCAATCTTTGTGTATGTGTATATGAATGCATATATAAATATACATATTTATGTTTAATATACATACACACATATATGCATACATACATATGCATATATATGTGTATATATATAATTTTTAAAATACTGCCTAAAGCTGTCTTGAAATTAGAACATTTTTTAAGCATTGTATCTTGTCAATCAGTAAATATCATAAGCATTTGTAATGAATGCACAGTTATAAAATTTTGGATATATTGATTATTGTTTAGCATAATAAATAGTTCAGTATATGCTACATATGTTTTAATTACTGTGATATTTCCACTTATTTATACTCTCTCTGTGTGTATATTTAAAAATGTTAGACTGTTAAAAATTAGCGGCTTGGCCGGGCACAGTGGCTCACGCCTGAAATCCCAGCACTTTGGGTGACCGAGGCGGGCGGATCACCTGAAGTCAGGAGTTCCAGACCAGCCTGGCCAACATGGTGAAACCCCGTCTCTACTAAAAGTACAAAAATTAGCCCGGCATGGTGGCACCTGCCTGTAGTCCCAGCTACTCGAGAGGGTGAGGCAGGAGAATCTCTTGAACCCCAGAGGCGGAGATTGCCAGCCTGGGGGACAAGAGGGAGACTTCCTCTCAAAAAAAAAAAAAAAAAAAAAAAATTAGCAGCTCATGCCTATAAATCCAAGCATTCTGGGAGGCCAAGGCGGGCGGATCACGAGGTCAGGAGATCAAGACCATCCTGGCCAACATGGTGAAACCCCGTCTCTATTAAAAAAACAAAAAAAAAAAAAAAAAAAAAATAGCCAGGCGTGGTGGCGGGCGCCTATAGTATCGGCTGCTCTGGAGGCTGAGGCAGGAGAATCGCTTGAACCTAGGAGACAGAGGCTGCAGTGAGCCAAGACAGCGCCATTGCACTACAGCCTGGGCAACAGAGCGAGACTCTGACTCAAAAAATAAAATAAAATAAAATAAAATAAAATAAAATAAAGATATGAAATGTTCTAATTCTCCCTATTTTTATTTATTATTTTATTTTAAAATGTTAGTATAAGTACTAGCAAATGGAATATTTTATATTGTTATACTCCCCTTGCTACGGGAAAGATGGAAATCATCTTTAAAATGGATTTGGGTGTGTGTACAGATTTTAAATCTTAACAAGGAATTATTTTGTATCTACAACACCAGGAAAAATTCCTGAATACAATGGATGTACATTTCTTGCTGCCACAGTGAGGGTAACAGGTGGACGGAGTTTTCTGTGCTGGACATCACATCCCCCATTTTGATTCGCCGTCTTCCATTCCTGTGCAGTCAGTAGTTTGGTTATTTAAGTTTATATTTCCATTGAAACATGAATAAACATAAATAGATTATTTTACCCTAATACACAATTAAAAAGCTACAAATTTCAGTAGAAATCAGCTTGCACAAGTTATTTTCTTGCCAAATAAATCTATTAATACTACACATAGCAGTATTTAAGCACTGACTCATTCTTTTTGAATACTTTTACATAATCCTAGAATGACATAAATTGTTCAAGTATAAAGTATTATTAAGTTATAGAGAAGCAGTATTTGAAAGGTTATGATGATATCATTTGACTAAGAGGAACACAATTATCAGTATTTCTACTTTAAAGAATATTACTTCTTCAATAATTGACTTAAGGCCTTGTTCTACTTTATTATTTTATTATTGTATTTGCCACATTACGAAAACAATCTACACATAATTTTTAAAGGCCATTTTAATATTTTCCAAACACAGTTTTTATGTATTATTAATTACTATTATTATTTACATTTTATTCTTGTTGTTGGTATATCTCACTGTCTTATCATTCTCTCTAGTCATTAATATATGACTTCTTTATTGTATTCTAATTTTTGATATACATATTCTAATGTAAAATATATCATAATATATTCTATATTCTGAATTACTCCCAATTTCTTGCCTTATTTTTGAACAATGGTAGGAAATATACCATGCATTTTATTATTTTAATAGTAGTAATGTTATATAAGAAACCATTCAAAGGTTAGAGATGGTAACATTCATGTATCAGTTAATAAATTGATCTTTTCCAAGGTGAGTCAGGTATGTACTAAGGGAAACTAACAAAAACAAAAAATGGTAATGTAACAACTCCTCACAGATAAATAATTCTGATGGTCTAGTAAACACTCTAGTGGGAGAGAAAGTAGATCTCTGTGCAAGAAAACATCTCAATTCTGCAAACACTCCCAAGGGTGGGTTAGTAGGACAAGACTTCTGTGCTAGACTCAGAAGTTTGGCTCAACCACTACTTTCTACTCCGTGTTTGGCTCAACCACTGCTTTCTATCATGAAGTGTTTACTTTCGTAAGTGATCTTCAAGTTTCCTAGAAAGATGGTTCAGACTTTTTTTCAGATTAAAAAACACTGTAGTTTACAAAGCTACATAGTATGTTATTGAAGACAAGGGCCCACATAGAATATTAGTTGAATTTTAGAATTCTTTATAACAATTCATATGAACTAGCAAAAAGTAGATATCCGCAAAGTACTCAGTATATATTTTTTAATTGATTAATAAAATATGTTTAGAGATCAGCTTTTGCCATCTGTGTTTCCGGGCTATGCTGATTTTAGCCGAAGGCATATATGAGTAGGTTCAGAGATTCCTTAGCAGATTCCTTTGCAGAGCCAAAAGGTGTTTTGAAATGATCATAGTAATGTAAGAAGTACTGGTTTCTGTACCTAAACTTGCTCGGATCACACATATGTTTTCACATTTTCTTTTATTTTTACATTTTAAGTGAGAAATATCTTGCAATAAATCTGTTCTTGTAGATGTGACCTTTGTTGATGTTCCAACTTTGTGTACTTTTTCTGTTTAAATGACACATTATTTCACACTAGTCAGCAGGACAAAAGGGAACTAAAAAAGGACAAAATAAAATAAGTCAATGACATGATTTATAAGTGAATACAGTCTGCATTAATTCTGCTGTAAGTGTGTACCATACAGAGTTAGCATGTTTAAGTTTCTCTATAAAGCCATTGGAAGGTAATCGTTTTATTTAGCAAAAGCGCTATTGAAGAAAGACTTCGTGTAATGTCCTTTATCCAAACTTAACATTCACTTTTATTTGGTTTTTAAAGTTTGTTTCCACGGCATATGACAGAGGAAATGCTTTCTCTGAAGACCAACTTTAAATTCTTATAAAATATCATTGATTAAATTTTCTTAAAGTAAATGTTAGACTTTATCTGGAGTCTTGACGGAAAATGTTCAACACACGTATTTTATCCTTTAGCATTTGGATATTGCATTTCCCTGTTCTCTTGAGTGCTAAAACAAATTGGATATAATATAATTTCAAAGTGCAAAAAACAAACCACAGAAAGTTACTCTCTACATTCTTGATAGATAATCATTTAGCATTGTTAGAGCACAGGCTTTTGGTTTCTGAGTTAAAAAAAAAATTTTTAAAGGGAAATCTTTTCCAAAATGTTTACATTTGAAATGTGAGATAATATTGATAGCCAATTTTAGAAAGAAAAAATCTGTTTATATATGTTGTTTTATATGTGATGATTTCAGTATATCAAAATAGGATATTAATATATATTAGTTCGCTAAAAATAATCTGCATAAAATTCTGAGGACCTTGTGTTACCACATAATTTTCTTCTCACTTTTATTATTTATTTATCATTGCAGATTAAAAAAATCAACAGAAATTTTCCTGTAAACCAGCAGGTAAGATCAAAGCTAAATAATGTATTTCTTCAATTTGATCTATTATAGAAGATAATGTTATCTGATTTCTAAACAGAAATAATTGGTACAGTCATTTACTATCTTTAGTGAGAAATATACATTTCAACTATCTTCTTCATATTATATAATATGTAGGTTCCTCTACTTATATTAAAAAGTACTTTAAAAATGTGTATCTAAGTCAAAAATTGTTTATACAAAATAATGATATTTATTTGAATACATTGTTGAAGAACTTACAGTTTTATTTACATATGATAGTTTTAGTATATCTTAACTTTTGGGAGACATACTTTTAATTTATCTCAAAATTCAAATGGATTTTTCACAATTTGCTGACAGTATTTCAAATGAGTCTAAGTCAATGCATAGAACAAAAATAATTTTGATTATTCAGCTCTATAAACTTCTTACTCTTGATATCAACTTTGATTTGAAACCATTGATCAAATCTAAATATCTATGATAGCTATTTATAAATGATACATAAATTACATATTAATTTTAATGATAAAAATGTTTAAATGCTCTTCAACATATAAAATGTAAGATCTTTTTCTTATCTAAACCTCAGTTCCCTTATCTGTTACATTTGTATAAGGGTGACTATCCTGTAAGTTTATTTTCAGGATTAAATAATAGCACATGTAAAGTTCTCAATCTATGCTATTATTTTCATCAAAGTTTCCAAATGTTTACACTTATTCTTTGGAATACATAATTTATGTTTTATAGAAATTGTATCATTAATGATGCTGCTAGCCCAGATCAGCTTCCAAAGCTATGTGTAACTAGAACACTGGAGACAACCGCTTTGGAGAGTTCATTGTGTCTACAATGCTCTGGTCTAGTTATTTTCAGCTCCAGAAGTCCCCTCCCTCCTACCTTAAGTCCCTCAGTCCCGAGTCAAGTTGATATTTTGGATAAATGCAGAGGTTGGAGAGGTGTACATGTCTTGCCACATGCTGTAGCAACCTGTAGTTGTTTCTAAGTCCCTTACTTACAGTGTGGAAACCAGAGTTGTCACCAGCAGACTCTGCTTACTTGCTCTGTGATGACACCTGGGATGCTCCCTTTGTTGCTCCCATGCTTTCCCAGGTGATTCTGATATGGGTATCATCTTGAGAACTGCAGACAGGTATAGTTAAAGATAGGTGTCATCTTAGAGCTACAGTTTAATGCTTTTATAGGGTTCCAGTAGAGGGAAAATGTCATTAATAAGAAATTACTCAGATAGAAGAAAGCATCAGCTATGGGGGAAGATTATAATGTCCATCGATAGACAAGGCTGTTTTCTAGTCAGATCTATAAAAATGGAAATCTACTGTTTTGTAAATTCTTCTCCAAAATAAAAAAAATAGTGAATTTTTTTTTTAAATTTAAGAATGACTCTAGACCTGTGTCATCACCCTCTCATGCCTTTTCTAACCTCAGCGTGGGAGATATTAATATTGGTGTAATATATTACTACAGTGGTCATTCCCCTGATAGCCCCAAAGCTATTCTGTAATCACAATGACAATTACAGCTGACACTTCTCACGCAGTCAGCCTGCTGACTGGGACCACTTCTTGCCACCTTTGCTTATATCCAGGTTTAGAATATTATTAAGTAAAATAAGTGAGAATTTGAATCAATCACACATAGAACAGGTAATAAAAAAATTTAATATTCTAACACTATAATATTCTGACACATACTCATATGTAAACATAGATGTTCATTATTATTCATCATTTTTATTTGCTAGCATGCTAATATTTTTCATTATATAATTATTTCAAATCTGAAATTATGTAATTCAAAACTATTTCAGATTTTATTTCAACTATATTGGCAGCTCACAGTTTTGAAAATCATAACAAATTCTTCCTGGCATTTAAGAAACCTGAAAAAGTAGTTAATAGTTTTTTTTTTTTTTTTTCATTACTACTTTCCATTGTATACATGAAGAATTTTAAGAAATAGGATTAATTTATAGTTAAATATTTATATTATTGCATAATTAGGAAAACTCACCTCACAGTATGACAACAATGCATTAAATGACTAGAATACATTTCCTACTTAGTAAATCTGAGCCAGTTTAAGGAAATTGAAATTTAAAAGCACATATAATCCCATTTCTGATGATATATGCATTAAATAACTCCCTCGTATTCCTGGTGTTCTAGGTATCAAAACAGAAATTAAAAGTCACCCAAGCTATAATGAACCAGAAGTTCTCTGCTCCCTGAGATCTGGTTTTCAATTTGTGCTACCCAGATGGTACCACTACCCTAACCAGATAAATTAAAATGAAAGCAAAACACAGGGAGAGAGCCACTGCAGTCCAACTGAGACAAGTGCTAAGATTAGTTCCACATGAACTCTGCCACACTCCAGAATGCATGATGCTTTCAAGAAAAACTCTCTGTCTGAAGAAGATGGTTGGGCCCAAAATTATAAACCATATGAGGAAATAAACCATTATAAAGAAATGCATAGAGACTAAAGAACTATCCAAAATATTTTTAATCATGATTTTTTTAAATAAGGAAATCAAAATTGTAAGACAAGAACAGGACATAGTGCTAAAATTTGTAGTTGTTAAAAGAACCAAACAGGAGTTCAAAACTGAAAAAAAAGAAAAAAACCCTACATTTAAAATTAATTAACCAACTAAATAATCTTAGTTATTGCCTCCACTTGAAATCACATTAGTGTATCTCCTACTTCACTTTTCGTGAGGAGTAAGTTTTCCATTTTCTCTATGCATCTGGGACACAATCATGTGTTTTTGTTTTATTAAGATTCTAATTTGATTCTTTTTTTTTTTTTTTTTTTTTTGAGACTGTCACCCAGGCTGGAGTGCAGTGGCGCAATCTTGGCTCACTGCAACCTCCGCCTCCCTGGTTCAAGCGATTCTCCTGCCTCAGCCTCTTGAGCAACTGGGATTGCAGGCATGTACCACCATGTCCGGCTAATTTTTGTATTTTTAGTAGAAACAAGGTTTCACCCTGTTGGCCAGGCTGGTCTCAAACTCCCCACCTTAAGTGATCTGCCTGCCTTGGCCTCCCAAAGTGCTGGGATAACAGGCGTGAGCCACAACAGCCAGCCTGAATTGGTTCATTTTTACAGTGAACACACTGAAATTCTATTTGCCCTGATAACTTTCTGTTGAAAAGATGAAAGGTGGGACAGTGGTCTTGCTGATGAACAAAATAGGGATAACTGAATGGATGTTGTGATAATTCTCTCAATATATTAGAGGTAAAGGCATGCAGGCCTAGAGAGCCAGGCCTACATCACACTACTGTATGTACCTAGACCATTAGGTCATAATTTATTACATGTGTCATTTTTACTCATTTTTAACTGAAGTTTCTTCATCCTGAAATAAATCTCATTCCTTCCACAAAAATAGCATTTTTCATTAACTTTTTTCTATAATTGTTCACCTGGGAGTAACATTATAAAGTATTAATTCATCATTAAAATATTAATATAATGAGCTTTATATTAGGCAGTATACAAAATAATATAATCAAATTGTTTACATTAGTTTAAATTAATAAAGTTATACTTATTTAAAACAACATGTTAGCTGTTGCAGCTATTCCTACAGATATATTTACATTTGACTAACCATAATAATTTGGACACATTATTATAGATGTGTACATACCATACACAGAATGCTGGCAGTGGAATAGAAAGTGACTAAAGTCTCTAGTCGTGCTGGGGAGAATTAGAGAATTTCAGGACACTTTAAAAATCCATTTCTGGAGTGGCATCAGAAAAGAAAGAGGAGTAGGATAAATTTTGTCAGTTTTGCTTCTCTATAAAAGATTTGCTTCTCTATAAAAGCAACAGAAGAATGGCAAAAATAGAATCAACTTTTAACAAATATGGAAATTCACAAAGGCTCACTGAACCCAGGGAGCATTTATTCAAGAAAAACAGCTGAGTCTTGGTAAGAACAGCAAGCTTTGTGGCATTGTAACTGGACCTAGTTCCAACCCCTCCCTTTTCTCTGGCAATATGGTGGCTTACAGAATAATGATGTATAGCCTGAAATTTATAATCTAATAAGTTGTATATTTAATTCATTCAATTTTAGCGTTATTGAAGATGTATATTTGTGTGTATTTAGACAAAATATTCTATTAATGAAACTGACAATTGGTCTTTATTTTTGGGGGATGTCAAAATCTATTTTTTTCAATTTGAGAAAGAAATTATCCCAGTTCTTTATATATTCAATTTATAAATGTTAAAAACACATTATAGAGTCACACAATCTGGGGATAATGAGCCTATTGTTGTTCTGGTCCATTTCATAACACTTTGTGATAAAATATGCTGGCATTTTATGATCTAAAGGAGAATCCACCTCAAAAAAAGTAATGTGTCTTTATAAGTTAACTCTTGGAAAATCAGCTAGCTCATAAATCATTTGATAATAAACATGATGAATATTTCACAGGAAAATGAGGTGTAAATGTTATTTTACAATTAAACTAAAAGAGCCCACACCTAATTATGTATTACAGTTAAAATAAAATATACATTTTAGAAGACTTGGGAAAGGGTTATTGAAACAATAGAAAGTTGTATATGTGTGTGTGTTGAATTTATACACATATATACATGGGCTTCATTATTGAAAGAACTGTCTTAATTCTCATTGGCTTTCTTTTCTAAATATATAGATTTTCAAAATCCTGAGGGTGTGGGGAACAAATATGGCAAAATTGTCTTGTTTCGCATTTTCCAGATTGTTATATAAATGGAATCATACCGTATGTTGAATTTGTGTGGCTTCTTTCATACAGCATAATTATTTTTAACATAACTCATTTAACAACGTGCAACAATCCATCATTCTTTTTAATGCTGAGTAGTATTTCATTGGTAGCTCTACCACCATTTATATATTGTATATTAGCCCATTAATGCACATTTGCTTGATTTTAAGTTTTAGTGTATTACAGATA